GAATCTCCTCTTGGAGATAGCCAAACTGACTCAACGGCTGCCACAAGAACTTCAAAGCGCCTTCTCCTAAATGAAGAATACATCAAGGTAATAATCTCTCCTGCTCATTAAATTTGTTTTTTTTTTACTTTTTTAGCTCAGTGTTTCTCCACTCTTAGTATTGAAATTATAACAAGATCACACTGTATTTTATGAATGAATGTTCATATATTTTTATGGCTGATTAATGCTGTCTCGTGTTTGTATTTTTCAGCATGGACAGACACGCAGGGGCACCATTTATGGTCTTGGCAATTTCCAGTACACTAACAAGCGTCCTTCTGAGTCTGTCCTTGCTGCACTCAAGCGAGACATAAACGTGGAGAAGAGGGTTTCTGGCCTGGAGACTGAGTTGCATGCTTTGAAGACTGACTTCAATGAAGGCAATGCTAGAACTCAGGCAACTCTCGACATGATTCTGCAACTTCTTCAGCCTCAAGCTTCTTCTGCACAAGCAAGTAAGTCTCAGCATCGCTCTCCCTCTCATTCTGCAGCTCCACCTCAAGGTCAAGCTCAACCTGAAGGTCACGGTCCAGCTCCAACTCCACCTCACGATCAGCCTCAAGCTCCAGGTGACACACAACCTCAACAACTCATCACCACTAATGATTCTAATTTAGATAGGTGGTGTAATGAACTTGGATTGTAGGTTTAGATGTGGCTGTTTATGTATTATGGTTTCATGTTTTGTGGATCTTTTGAACTCTTAAGGAGCTATGGCTGTTTATGTATTATGTGGTTTCATGTTTTGTGGATCTTTTGAACTCTTAAGGAGCTAATGTAATATATTCCCTTTCTGTTTCAGCTTCTCTTTTTAAATTATTCAGAATTAAAATCTCAACCCAAGAAAATGAGATCAAATTAGGAAACAAATGAAATGATTTTTTTTTTCCATTTTGTGGTAATTTGCCACGAAATCGTAGCAAACTTGCCGTCTCAAAACGTAGCAATATGCCACAATCCATAACGTAGTAAAACGTAGCAAGTTGCTACGTTTATCTTCGTAGCAATGTCGTAGCAAGTTGCTACGTTTCCTTTCGTAGTAAAACGTAGCAAGTTGCTACGTTTATTTTCGTAGCAATGTCGTATCCATTTGCTACGATACGAAAATGGCTACGATCGTATAGCTACGAAAACATAAACGTTGCTTTTCGTAGCATTATCTCCAAATAGCTACGAAAATTCCTCTATAGCCACGATTTTCAGCTTACCATCCAGATCGCCACACGGCGAGCTGAAAGGGTTCACCCGACTTGCCCTACGTTGAGCTGAACCAATCCTTGAGTTTCTCTCTCGAGTCTTGATCGCACTGATTCTCGTTTCGACTCAATCGGAATTTCCATCAGGATTTTACGATAAAACCGCGAAGACTTGTTTCTTCGTATAAGTTCGAATCAATCATCTAAAACGGCAACGGTTGACTTAACACCAAAGTTGCCTAAACTATACGAGAAATCTGAACTCTCTAGACCCAATCCGGTGTTACGAAACTCTGCCATGCTAAGTCGAAAACAACCAATCATAAACCCGTGATTGATTTTTTCGATATACAAAGCGCACCTAGTCGGTCAAATAAAACCAGCAATACGAAGAAACAAGAACATGAGTTCCGATGGTTAAGTCTTCTCCCCGCTCCGATCCTCTTGCTGGTAATTCGTCGTAGACCGGTAAGTCAAAAGACGAAGAACGAAGAATAGACGATCCCAAATTATCGATTAAACTAAGGTATGTCCGATTTGAAAATTTTATTAGACTTCTAATTTCTCGTAGATAAGAAACGGAAACGTCTTGTAAACTGCCATGAAACCTAGAGAACTTAGAATTTAGAGGATAGTCTAGCATGCTAAGTCGTAAGCAATTTTTGTCTATCTCGATTTGTTGTTTTCTAACCATTCAGGCATAACTCGCAAACCGATCCAATCTCTCGTAAAACCGAGAAACGATCGCCACGCATTCAAACGTACTCATTTCCTAAACGAAAGAGGGAGCTAGAGACGCTGACGTTGTCTTAAAACCGACTCGCTCCTAGAAGCTTTCGTAAATCAGACATACTCAAAGTCATCTACGATCCACCATGGTCTTTAATCGACCCGGATTGTCAATCATCCCAATCCTTCAAACGAAACTCGTCTTTCTTCTTTCGCCGAACATTTTTCCTCGCATCAAGAAAATGCTTTCTAAAATAAGCGGAAAAAATATTCGGACGATGCAACGCCTCGTCGAAATCATTTCAAAAGCAAACGACAATCTAAAAACCGTCTAAGCGCTAAAGACTGATCCAAACTGTCTGGGAAATAATCTCGAGGAATATATAGCATCTCTCGTCGCAATCATGCGGTTAGAAAATATCTGTGAAACTTCAGAGCGAAACTCGATGATTTGCCAAAGTCAGAAAGGTCTTCTCGAAGTTAATAAAAGAAGTATAAGAGTCAAAAAATTATACGAGAAATCTTTAGGCATCGAAGCATTGATCTCGTTTTCCGTCAAACCAAGTGAGTCACGGAATAATGTCAAGAATATTTGCGGCGAAAGAAAAATCGAGAACACAAAGCAGCAATAGAGAACACGTCCTCCCTTCTCGCTGACTGATCCTATTGCTGATCATGTGATTCATTCTTTCCGAGAAACCCGCTAAAACATTTTGCGACTAGATCTCGGTGAAATAACTTTTGGTAAAACTCCGCGAGTGACTCCGAAAAAACCGTTACCGAAAAATCAAAAACTAAGCGGAAAGGTTTCTCGAAAAATCTGCGGAAACATTGTTAACCCAATGCGTCGTGCCGATTTACTAAATTCATCGCCCGTTGCTTACGCGAGAAATCCTTCGTATAGTCAGGATCATGTCATAACGAAGTAACTTTCAAAGTAAACGTAACAGGTTTTGCGAAAAGTACTTTCCTTATAACGAAAACCAAGCTATACGATCCGGCACTGGGCGGCCAATCTAAACTTTGCCTCCTCGCGACACGATCTGAAATATCTCACTCTTTAGCCCATCGGTTCACGAGCATCCGCTCTCATTCCTCCCGTTTACATCCGAGAATGAGAACGCCCCGCACACGACTCCGCATGGGCTTTGCATCGAGCTCTTTAGGATCTGTCTCCCTCGAGTAAAAAAGAAACAACTTCCATACAAAGGAAAGTTTATACGAAACTTTCATTATATAAATCAAACCTACAACGGAAAAACGTTTTCTATAAACACATGCATACTTGGCATATCAAGCTTGACAAACGCTACTCGACTATTGTCCGATCGCGCTTCACTTCGATGCCAAGTTTACAAACCGACTCGACCTTTTCGATAGCATGAAAGTGTCGTGGTCTAATCCTCTACCAAATACGACCTTGGCTGTGCGGCTGAACACAACCTTCACGCTAAGCCAATACGTTCAACGGATAATGCAAACTTGTCAAAAATCGGCTAAGTTATGTATTCTCGTGATTCACTCTATTCCCGAAGAAAGTTGCCTACAAAATCCGACGTATACAAAAACACTCGTACCAGAGCTCCTAAAGCCGTACAAATCTCGGAAGGTCAACACTTCACAAAGCACCGTAACGAAAAACGCCTCGTTCGGAGAAACAACTTACACGAACTCTCGGTCCTAATTGCTCTAGCACAAATCATAAAACTACCTAACATCCAAAGTGGAATGTAAGTTTTAATTGCGAATATCCGCAAACGAACCAAAGTGTTCCTGCAAAGCAGGGTTAAAACAAAACCCTCGCAACACCGCGCACATCTTCGAGCCCGCAAACATTCCGAACACGAAACGCGGCATATAAAATAAAAACCAACTTTCGGCAATGCGAGACGTTGCAGACGCCCAGAGATTAGTTTTTCAACATAAATACCTTCCTCGATAAAGTCATTTTATTGGAAGACCTAATAGTCCGTCCGCGACTATAAAATTACGAAAAACTTCTTAACGTACGTACCCTTCGCGAAGGCCAAAACAACGTAAACATTTATCGCCTAAAAATTTTGTTGCTGATCACAACAAACTCGCTACAGTCCTAAACAAACTTAAGTTATCTCGCAGAGATAGCTCTCGAACACCCAACACAAGGGTAATAGCGCTATAAAAGAAATCCAAACTTTTGGTCAGCACTTCCGGGCAACTTAGAAATTGTTCTCGGTGAGATGCTCGGTTCCAACCAGACGAATCATATAAGCCGAGAACCTATCGCGGATTTTAAATCGGTATGGAATCAGGTTAAAATCGCAACATGCAAAACGAAAGCCGACTAGTCATCGCATAGCCTCAATCCGAAAGTAAACCTAGGTCTTGCCCTAAACCCAGCACACTGGTCGCTAACGTCTCAAGGCATGAATCGAGATCCTAAAGGCATGTCTCTTCGTCTATATCTAAACGCTCACTCGATTTACTAAACATCTTAAAACGTGCAAACGAACAAGGCTATACACTAAGGGAAAAAGAAATGCGAGACGACAACTCGCGGACCTCCCTCAATATCAACTCATATTCTTCCCGCTACATCCATGCGCTTTAATAAAGCCGCAAAAGCGGCAGGGACTCAGAGCCGCACACGGCCAGTCCGAAAACTATAACGGCCACGCTCGGCCAGACCAAACGGCCTACGAGGCTAGTCTCAAGGCTGGCAAAGGTCTAGATGCCATCGACATCAATATGCTCGATAATTCCACCTCTTAACGGCTGATAGAATTTGTCACATACTTTTTCATCGGATTGCGATGTCCTTTCCAGTTATAGTTTTCGGACTGGCCGTGTGCGGCTCTGAGTCCCTGCCGCTTTTGCGGCTTTATTAAAGCGCATGAATGTAGAGGGAATAATATGAGTTTATATTGAGGAAGGTCCGCGAGTTGTCGTCTCGCATTCCTTTTCCTTTGTGGATCGCCTTATTTGTTTGCTCGTTTTAGGATGTTTAGTAAATCGAGTGACCATTTAGATATAGACGAAGCGACATGCCTTTAGGATCTCGATTCATGCCTTGAGATGTTAGAGACCAGTGTGCTGGGTTCAGGGAAAGACCTAGGTTTACTTTCGGATTGAGGCTATGCGATGACTAGTCGGCTTTCGTTTTGCCTGTTGCGATTTTAACCTGATTCCATACCGATTTAGAATCCGCGATAGGTTCTCGGCTTATACGATTCGTCTGGTTGGAATCGTGCATCTCACCAGGAACAATTTCTAAGTTTCCCAGAAGTTCTGACCAATAGTTTGGATTTCTTTTAAGCTCTATTACTCTTTTGTCGGGTGTTCGAGGGCTATCTCTGCGAGATAACTTAAGTTTGTTTAGGACTGTTGCGAGTTTGTTGTCATCAGCAACAAACTTTTAGGTGATAGATGTTAGCGTTGTTTGGGCCTTCGAGAAGGATACGTATGTTAAGAAGTTTTGTATGTTTTATAGTCGTGGATGGACTGCTGGGTCTTCCAAGAAAGTGATTTTTATCGAGGAAGGTATTTGTGTCGAAAAACTGTTCTTCAGGCGTCTTCAACATCTCGCAATGTCGAAGATTGGTTTTTTGTTTCGTATGCCGCGTTTCGTGTTAGAAACGTTTGCGGGATCGAAGATGTTGCACGGTGTTGCGAGGGTTTTGTCTTAACCCTGATTTGCAGGAACACTTTGGTTCGTTTGCGGATATTCGCAACCAAAACTCAC